CTTAATTTCCCATTCTTAATAAATTTTACATAAAAAAAAATAAAACCAACACCATATCCCTAATAATTTTTTCCTCAGATGGCTGTATATTAGCTGTCAAATAAATTAAATTCATTTTTCTTTTATTTTGTTGTATTTTCTTTCTCTTCCTTTTTTTTTTTTTTCTTTCCACATCACTATCTTTTCGCATCATACAAATATATCACACTATAAAATAAACTTTTGAAAACAACCTCCAAACCCCTCACTTCACACTTTCCCCCTTCAGCTTTCTCTCCCTGTTTTTTTTCTCTTCACTCACTATTTATTGTAACAAATCCATTAATTGTGCGGACTGTGTGTGAAAGCATGTAAACTGCAGCACTGACATATTATAGATACAAACAGAGTAGCTAAAGGTACAATTTTTTTCCCATTTTATTTAATCAAACGTTTTGCTCTGTCCTTATATTTGCACATATAACGAGGCCCCTTTAGTTCTTTTAATCACAATTGCTGGTAGGTAGAGAGAGAGCGAGAGAGAACGAGAGAGAAAGAGAGAGAGATAGAGAGAGAGAGAGAGAGGGAGAGAGAGAGAGAGAGAGAGAGAGAGAGAGGAAAAGGGGTTTCTTTAGATAGCTGTTTGAAGGAAATCATAACGTGGGCTCTGAGTTTTAATGCAAAATTCGTGTTTTTCTTGCTGTATTTTGGATTCTTGAACTTGAGGTAGGTTTTGAAGACCAAATTTTCATTGTTTTATGGGTTTTTGACTGACTGATTCTGGGTTTTTTTGGCTGTAGAGTGTGAGATGGCTCTCACTTCATCTATTCTATTATACCATTCTTAGAATATTTCATTCACTGGTAATAGGCTTTATCGAACCTTTTTATCGAGATTATCAGGAACAACTTCATCTTTGTGCCATCTTGCGAAGTTCTTTTGTTCTTTAGTTAACTTGGCCTGTTTAATTGGGAGATTATGGCTTTTGCTCTACTGGTGTTTGTCAGCGCCTGATGGTGCCTTCATATGCTTGAATTTTCGACAGCTCCCTTTGGCAATTATTCGGTTTACGGTTTTGTTTTGAAGCCAACAGTTGGCTTCCATAGTGGAGTCATTCTTCTATATACAACAAGTAAACATACCATATTATCCGACTACTTAAATAACATAATTTTATTAATATGGTAGGTTTAGTTGTTGTATATGGAAGATTGACTCTACTATGGAGCCAACTGTTGGCTGCATAGCAAAACCGATTCACCGTATTCTCTATGAATGAGTTGAGCCTTATCGAGTTTTCCCAGCTTTGACTTGTGGTTAATTGTTCTATAATAATTTCACATATTTGCTTGTTTTTAGTATTTCATTGTACAGAATGCTCAGCTCTTGAAATTATACCATTTTTTAATAGAAGTTGAAGAATGGGGGTTACTTCTAAAGACTATTAAATTCGTGTGTATGAAATCGAGTGAGTTCATGCTTCATAACAATTAATTATTTTTGTATTATGGGGCCCCAGCATATTGATTATATGTTTTTTCAACATTTATGCGTATATCAAGGTGCTTAATATGGTAAGTTTGTCAAATATTTGTTACTGGGCTTAAAGATTCCTGTGTGGACTTTTGATTGAGTGAAAATTTGACAAAATAATCTAATGACAAATATAAAATTCTTCTCTTACTCTCTGCATCTTCTTCCTCTCTCTCTCTCTCTCTCTCTCTCTCTCTCTCTCTCTCTGTGTGTGTGTGTGTGTGTGTGTGTGTGTGTGTGCATCGTCTTATAAAATTATAATAGACGGCAGCTATTATAATTAACTGATTGGGGACATCTTTGTCTGTATGTTTGCTAACCTGCATTAATAAAGTACTGTTTCCTTTTACCATAAGGTTTAAGTAGTCATACAGAAGTCATGATAAAAATACACACAGAAGTCATCTGTTTAGAGCTCTTCTGACCCACTTCAGATTTTCCTAACATGCTGTGATTTTCTCTGTCTTTTATTTTGATAAAAACTGCAATATCTGTTTATTTGTTTTTTTTTTTTTTCATTTTTCTCGCCTTATTCCTCAATCAGTCTTAATTTTTTACTACAAGAAAAGTGAGTCCCTCGATCCCGTTTTGCCCCGCACACATTGTTGTGATCCACTCCTTCACTCTAAATGTATACCTTTTAATGTTGTTTCGCGCATGATGGTATTATTAGCGTTTTACTTTAGCATCCTTATCTCACGATGTCCAAGTAAAACTTATTAGTTTTTTTTTTTTACTTTGATTTGTTTACTCTCATCCTCTAGTCCAATTTGCGTTTGATTTTGTTACTCTCACATTGTGAATGCGCGCGATATTTATGCGTCCTCTTCGTTTTATGCTTTTGCAGGGGCAGAGACCGACTTACTCTGACCTAATTAGATAGTGTACTCTTTGCCATTTACAATCAAATAATCGGTAAAAATATACGAGAAAATGATGCAGCAGAAAAGAAGCCCCGTCTCTACTGATCAAAGCAGTTTTATGGACTTGATGCCAAAAAGGCTAAAGAGTGATGCACCTCTAACGTCTAAGGTTAGTCTCTCATGACGGGGTCCTTTGTTCTTGGCCTACAGAAGATTCAAAAATGTTATATGTCCATGTAATGTTTTTTCTTTTTTTATTTTTTTCATTTTCTTTTTAACATGCAACTCAAGTTGGAGTAGCTGGTAGCTATTAGCTGCTAGAATTGAGATACATATTCCGTAATGATGCAGTTCCTCTCGCTTTTCAGTACTTACCTCAGATAGTGTAAACCTAATAACTCTGTTCTCAATTTGGAACGAAATTGATCATTGATGTGTCTATGTTCAATTCTTTTGCAAATCAAAAAGTAAACCCTGTTCCTTTGTTAATCAAATATTGAGTTGGCATTGTCCTTAATGACTAGTACATTTGACTAATACTGCCCGTGTTCGTTCTTGCAATAACTCCTTCGTTTTACTTAAAAGTTGGTCACTTGGTCCCTTATCGTCTGCAGATAATAATGTTGATGTTTTTTTTTTTTTGGCACTATTTTTCATCCAATGACACGGTGTGTAATTTTTTGCTTCGGAACAGGAGAAAAAAGAGAAGATTAGTGAACGGATTTCTGCCCTTCAGCAACTCGTCTCACCATATGGAAAGGTGAAATACCATAAACTATGATAAGCTTTGCTTTTACATGCAAAAATCACCAAGACCTAACGAATGATCTTTCTTGGATGCATGTGAGGTTGAAAACTCGATCAAACAGTTCTATGTAGCAAGTTACAGAATAACCACACATTTCTTTCTATTTTACGAATTGCACCTTCAGCACGTTTGTAGTCTAAGTACATGCATACCTCAATCGGGTATGTATTAATTCTACAATGAAAATGTATTCTATAATTTGGAAAGATAACTCGATTAGACTAATCTCAATGGTTGCATTTTATAATCTTACTCGAAGAAGACATATCATGGCACTTTGGATTACATGATTCTTACCAGTCTACCTCGTCTCTAATTCTCTTACATTTAACTTCAGACAGATACAGCCTCAGTCCTTCTGGAAGCCTTGGATTACATAAGTTTCCTTCACGAGCAAGTTAAGGTATCAATCATCCTGCCCCACATAATTTTTCTATAAATACACATTAAGTGAAAATGAAGTTATACGAACCGAGTTAGACACTCCTTTTCTAACCCTTATATTTCTTATTTCGTTGTGGCCTATTCAGGTACTGAGCGCTCCATACTTATGCAGTACCCCTACACCAATGAAGGTATGCATTAACAAGTAACAAATTTTCAATGTAGTTCAGTTAGAAAGCGTGATTGGGTTACTAACCAGAATTTGCTCCACGCTAGCCTGGCCCATTTTGATTTTCTTTGACATTTATTTTTCGGTTATTTTTTTATGGAAAAGCAATTGTTTACCTCACAGATATGCTCTCATGATTTAAAACAAAACATTAACGCTATGTATCATTTGTATATAATGGTTTTATCTAGTAGAAAATGTTGTACCGAGTCCTTTGATCTGGTTCTAGATCACATAAAAGTAACACAAATGGCTGAGTATTGTTATATATACTTATGATGTGTTTTTATTCAAGGATGGAGAAGAACCATGTAGCCTCAAAGCCAAAGGCTTATGCCTTGTCCCGATTTCATTAACCGTTGGGGTCGTGAGCAGCAATGGTGCAGACATATGGGCTCCCATCAAAACTACACCCTCCGGTAACTCGAGAAGGTTGATGTGGGACGAGGCCTCTGTGGTAACACATATCTGACTTATAGTTTATTTTTTAAGAAGAAAATGGGCAGACTTGGTACGAGGACTCTGCCTTTGTTCGAAATAAGAATTTTTGGCTCGTGAAGTTTAGTTCTCATTGAGCGAAAATGACAAGTGTTTTGGGTGGGTAGGAGATGGTACGAGATGACTAGTGCTCGGTTAGAGGCAACGGAATTTGTAAATCAAATTAGGTGAAAGGTTCGGTTGGGGGTTTATATACTTATCGACATGGTGCGTTATGAGAATAGTAGATGAAAATAAATAGCTCTTGTCTGTGGATGGAGCTTATTACTTCTGGTTTATGATGTTTTGAAGATCTTTCTCTCTCTCTCTCTCTCCCCCGTTTGTATGTGCTTCTACATCACGCTAGTTGTTAAAAATCTTAACGAGCTTACTTGAAAAGCTATCCGATAAGATTGAGTTTTTTGAAAAGGTCCGTCCGGTCAAACCAAGGTTATTTGCATACATGAAACTTATAAGTTTACCGAATAAGTAATAAGTTTGATTATAGTGCTTATCAAATACACTTTTATAATCATTGTTGCCATTGACGGGTAAATAGAGTCCTGCACAATGGTTTTAGGAGGAATTCAACAATCGTCAAATAAACAATGGCTTTTGAAAAATACATTTTCTATTGTGAAGCGACGTAATTGTTAGATATGAGAATGATAGATAGTGAAAGAAATTAAAATGAATAATAGATAGTGAAAGAAATTAGAATAAATTTAGATCATTGATCTGTCAATGGTTATGATCCAGGCTATGTTTGATAGACCAATAAGTTAGCTTATAACTTATTTTATTAGCTTATAAGCTCCATGTATTTAAATAAGCTTTGTTTGGAAGGACGAGCTTATTTAAAAAGTTTGAACTTATTTGATAAGCTTTTTTAGGTAGCTTTTCAAATAAGCTGGTTGATTTTTTTTGTAGCTAGTTTATCAGCTAATTTTACCAAACACTTTTATCATATAAGCTAGCTTTTCAGCTATAAGTCATAAGTTATAAGTTATAAGCTCAAAAATTACTGATAAGCTATAAGCTAACTTAACAACTACCAGTTAGCTTATCAGTTAGTTTTACCGAACATAGTTCCAGTTAAATAAGAGTAGAAATCATGGTCAAATATAATCATTCAATCACAAATTGAGGACAAAGTGGTAAATATGTATTGATTTTTATCTCAGGTGGGTCCTACCACCATCCCCTCAAACATC